TGCAAATCATTTACAGGATAAGGGACTTCTATCCAGAATATCTAAATAACTCTTCCCATTCAAAATTTAAAAAGATGAGCAATACAACTGAAAAATTGGCAAAGGATTTGAACAAATATTTCTTTCAAAAAAGCATACACACACACAAATATATACACATACACACAAATGGCCAACAAGTACATGGAAAGATATTTAATATCGTTTGCCGTTAGGGAAATGCAAAATACATTGAAATGCCACTTCGTACCCACCAGGATGACTATAATCAAAATGAGAGATAACAGCCGTTTATATGGAAACCCCCCCATACATCGCAGGTGAAAATGTAAAATAGTGCAGCCATTTTGGAAAATTTTGGCAGTTCCTCAAAATATTAACATGGAGTTGCCATATAACCCAGCAATTCCACTCCTAGGTATATACTCAAGAGAAATGAAATCATGTATCCACACAAAAAATTTGTATACAAATGTTCATAGCAGTAATATTCATAATAGTCCAAAAGTAGAAACAACGCATATATCCATCAACTGATGAATAAACAAAATGTGGTATATTCTTACAATGGAATATTATTTGGCAGTAAAAAGAAATAAAGTACTGATATGTGATACGACGTGGACGGATCTCTAAAACATTATGGTAAGTGAAAAAGAGGCCAGTCACAAAAGACCACATATATAATTCTATTTATATGAAAAGTCCACAATAGGCAAATCTATAGAGACAGAGAGCAGATTAGTGGTTGCCTAGATTTTGAGGATACTGGGTCAGGAAAGCTTGGGGGAAATTGGGGAGAAACTGTTAAATGGGCTTGGGTTTGTTTTTGAGGTAGTGAAAATGTCATAAATCGATTGTGGTGATGGCTGGAAGAGGGAGTCAGGCTGTTAGTGTGATGTGTGAAGGACAGTGTGATATAAGGACTTGAATTGCCATTGCTCACTTTGAAGATATTTGAGAAAGGGGACCTTCAGCTAAGGAGTGCAGGTGGTCTCTAAAAGGTGGAAAAAGTAAGGAAACAGATTTTCCCTTAGAGATTCTCAAAGGGTACACATCCCTTTCAACACCTTGATTTTGGCACAGTAAGGCCCTGTGTTGGACTTTTGACCTACAGAACGGTAAGATAATAAATGTGTGTTGGTTTAAGCCATCAAATTTGTGCTAATAACCTGCTTGCCTTCAGCCAGGTAGTTTTTGAGGCAACCATATTCTCTAACTCAACTATCCACTATAAAAAGAAATATTTTCTCCATTTAATTCTGAAAAGATGCCTCCAAAAACCAGAATTTCAAAGTTTAGTGAAAATGGATTGGCTCTATTATCCTACACCTTAGGAAAAGACAGACATTCCATTTTCTGTAAGCCTTTAAAAGCAGAATGTTCATCTTTCTGAGATACTTTATAAATGACACCATTTAAAGTTCATTCCATCTCTGTAGAGTAGGTGGAAGATCTGTATTAACACAGGAATCAAAGAATTTATATAAAGTTGGACAGAATATTAAATTGGGTGGACAATAGTAAAGTGGAAAATATAGATCAGCTTCTCAAACTTTAATGTGCATATAAATCCTGATAAAATGCAGATTCTGATTCAGTAGGTCTGGGGTGGAAACAGACATTCTGCATTTCTAATAAGCTCCCAGGTGATGATGATGATGTTGACTCTTAGACAACATGAAAGTGGCAAGGGGATAGAATGATAACAGCCTCTCAGGTTTAGGTCTCTGAGCCTGTTTAATCCCACTGAATATGCCACCCAAGAGTATATATAAACTCTTCTTGAGCCTGCTTACCCTTCAGCCAGTCAGCTTTCGAGGTAATCATATTCTAACTTAACTATCCACTATAAAAAGAAATATTTCCTCCATTTAATTCTGAAAAGATACCTCCAAGGACCAGAATTTCAAAGTTTAGTGGAAACAGGTTGGCTTTGTCCATATCCTTACTCATTTTGTAGTTATTTTGACTTTGGTCAAACGTCTCCAAGCATGTTTTCCATTCAAAAGGAAATAGTGTGATTGTGGGCTCAGATAGGCTTAGAGTCACAAAGTCTAAGTTTGAATCCTTGCTTTGATGATAAATGCTATGAAGATGTGGGCAAGTTACACTAGGTCTTGAGTCTCTTTCTTCATGTGTAAAATGGGGAAATGCCTACCTTGTACAATAGTTTAAATGAGGGCATATAAGGTATTATGAAGTGAGATGAAAAGATACAGTGAATGTTTAAATTAAAAAAATGTATTACAGTAAAAGACACATTGCCATTAATCCCCTTCAAAATGCTCCCCCTTGCTTCAAACACACTTAATCCATCGTTCTTGCCATTTTCTGAAGCAGTTCTGGAAGTCCTCTTTTGTGAGTGTTTTTAGTTGCACTGACGTGGCTGCCTCCATGTCCTGAATCATTTTGACTTTAGGGAAGAGCCAGAAGTCACACAGTGCCAGGTCCAGTGAATAAGGTGGATGAGGACACACCGTAATGTTTTTATTTGACAGAAAATGCTGTATACCAGAAGCGATGTATGACATGGAGCATTGCCATGATGGAGGATGATTTATGGCACACTTTATTTAAAACACACCTCTCAACCGTAGCTCACACCCGACTGCACTGAACAAGTTGAAACTTGTCACAGTGTTACTAAGATTCGAAGCACCACTTCACATATTGAAAATCCCTGCCTTTCCTTTGGATGGCACTCAGCAGCAGCATTCACTATATTTTGTGATGGCAGTGGAAAGGCTCCGTGTCACACATCACTTCTGGTACGGCAATTTCAGTCAAATAAAAACATTATGGTGTGTCCTCATCCACCTTATTCACCGGATCTAGCACCGTGCGACTTCTGGCTCTTCCCCAAAGTCAAAATGACCATGAAAGTCAAGCGTTTTGAATCGAATCAGGACATCGAGGAAGTCACGACAGAACAACTAAAGACACTCATGAAAGAGGACTTTCAGAACTGTTTCAGAAAGTGGCAAGAATGGGATGTGTGTTCGAAGGGGGAAGCCTTTGAGGCGGATTAATAGCAATGTCTTTTACTATATAATTTTTTTTTTAATTTAAACATTCACCAAACCTCGTAAGTGCCTAGCCTAATGTCTCCTATGTAGTAGGTGCCCAATAAGTTTCCTTTCTCTAGTCTCTTCATATAGTGAAGTCACTTTTTCGTTCATCTCAACAAAGTTTCCTTTCATCCTCTTGATCATTTAAGTTGCCTTTCTTCATTATGAAGTAAGGAGAGTCAATGGAAGCACCCAAGTGTTCCAATATTGATTTGCCATGAGTTTATACAAAGTAGACTATTTTTTCTCTCTTATCCTGCAATGGTTCAAGATGTTTTGATGATTTAAAGTCCAGCTCCTTATCAGTATTTTCAAAACCCCGAGTGATTCATAATGCACTACCCTACTTACTTATATTACTTGCTGTATAGCCTCATGTTCCTGATTTCAAAACTCCTTTCATCTATGGTCTCCCCGTGCTTGTTCAATATAACTTTCTGTAATGATGGAAATGCTCAATTATGAGCTGTCCAATAGAGTAGCTACTAGCCACAGGTGTCTATTGAGCACTTAAAATGTAGCTAGTGCAGCTGAGAAACAGAATTTTACATTTTATTTAATTTTAAGTAATTTAAATAGCCATATATAGCTAGTAGCTACCACAACGGAGTAGCACAGGTATGTAACCTACCACAAGTTCACCAGTTCAAACTAAGACCAAAATACTAACTAGAAATTCTCTCAATTCACCCTTATCTATTCTCCACTCCCTTGTTAGAATGATTGCCCCCAAACATTCTAAGCAACCAGGATACCTTCCATGACGATCTAAGGTCTTGTTTAAATTGAAAAGCATTTACTAATAATCATAACTAGACATATTTGTAAACAGCTACAACAGCTAATGCTTACTGACATGCCAGGTACTGTGCATATCACTTTACCTAATGTGTGGCCATAAATATTTTCACCAGGTAGGTCAACCAGTTTAATCCTCAGAAAACTTCTGGTGGCCAACTCTGAGGTTTCACGTTGATGTTTAATTGCTGTGTGAGCAAGAGTGTATGTGTTATTTTCTTATAGGGGCTAGAGGTATGTAGGAAAGAGGAGATATTAGGCATCGGAAACATCGATTATGATTATTGCATTTTAATCATATAACTTGTCAGGATTAAGCTTCTGGAAATGTTTTAAAAAAATACCACAGTCTTTTTATCAGCAGGTCCATTAAACAATCAGGCTTTGAGTGGGCTGCCATTCACTCAGATATCAAAGTGCTTTAGAAACAACTATTAATATTAGCATTTATTGTCTATACGTGGAAAACTAGCAAAGAAAGGTCAATCAAAAGTTGTGCCCAAGGTTATCAGTTAAAGTAAGATTAGTATACTGAAAAATTCTTGCACCAACTGAAGACTCGGGGTCTGGCCAAATGTGAGGTGGTGAGGAGAACGTTTATAACGCCCCTCCACGGAAACCTCAGCAGGGAGAAAAATGCATAGCCCCAGGGGTGGACATATTTGGACTTTATGGTCAGCAAAAAGACAGCCACCCATAACACACAAACTCAGCAAATCACAAGCAAAAGCGCTCATGCCTTGACTTTCTCTGCTCTTGAACATCTTTGGATGGGCAAACATATTATTTTACCGAAGGAGATAGGTCAGAGACCCTACCTCCCCTTTCTGTGCTACCAAACACTCCAAATCATTTCTCTAGCAACTAGATCCCAGAAGCATTTCTTCTCCTCTAGAAAGCCCCCCGCTCCCTTCACTCAAGGAACATCGTTCTCAGGGATCTAACGAAGCAATCCCATGAAGGCAGCAGCCACCAACCTGCCAGGGAGAGCAGAGGCAAAGGCACTTTCCGCGCCAGGAGGATCCCGCGTCGCAGCATGGGGGCCGCCATCTTGGAGTATACCAAGGAGAAAGCCGGTCCGGGGGGGTTGAGGGCAGAGGAAGTAGTGGGGTCCCAATAGACCTGACGCTCCTCCCCCCTCCAGGTTCCGGCAGTTGGTGCGGCCCGGGACGGCATGGCTGCTGCTTTTCGGCCCCCGAAGCAAGTCCTGCTGCGGGCACTGCGGAGTTCGGTGTATCCTGGGGTAGGAGGCTTAGGCTCCACCTGCTGCAGCTGCCCTCTCGGAGGTATCCGCGGTCTCGGGCCGTGAAGGAGGGGAGGGATGGGACACAAGGGACCTCACTTCAGCGGACATCACTTTGGAGAAATAACAGCGCCTCAGTTATTCACTGGCCTGGAGCGGCGGAGCGTGCTGTGCGTGGGTGCAGTAGTGGCCCCTGTCTGTCGTGGACGCCCGTGTGCCTGGGAACCAAAGGACAGCCGGGCTGGGGTCTTGACCTTGGGGCTGTAGTTATTTTCTCGGATGAAGCTACGTTGCTCTCCGGAAACCCCCGCTTCCTCCTTGGTTGTACTGTCCTGCAGAGATTGGGAAGCCGAGGTGTTGGCTAACAATCTGAAAGACCTTGAACAGGTTATTTGATTTGTAATATTATCCCTTAATATCTTTATGAAAATGATTAAATTTGAAAATCCTGGTGAGTGATAATAAAATAATACTTTGTATCAGTGCATTTTACATACACTCATTCCTTTTCTTTTCACAAGACCCAGTAACAGAGGTACCATTCTTTTCTCCATTTATAGAGGAAACAGCAAGTCTAACTAATCTGCCCAAGGTCAGAGGGAACTGGTAGGGTTGGGATTTGAACACAGGCAGCTCAACAATAGAGTCCGACTGTAACCACTTCTCTGGACTGCCTTTTCATAAATAAGCAGCAACTTTTATTGTTACCTTGTTATTACAGTACCCAGAGCTCTTTTAATGGGTGATTCTTTGGCCTAGCTCCACTCCATGCACAGCCGAGCATCCTAAAGAAATGATGATGTTTTCCAAACTCATCTTTTCTGCTAAGTGTGGTCAATGATTTTTGAGGATACTGGGAGGCCACAACTCTTCATGTCACAAATGACATAACTGGGAATTCAAGTGGTCACACTGTAGCTTTCCCACTAAATGATATGTAGATAAACCAAAACTAGATACACCTATTTTGTGTTTAAACAATGACCTTTGGTTAGTTCGTTTTAAAATTCCCTTATTATCCCATAACCAGATGGTGAATGTGTATTGTCTTTCAGAACCCAGATTCCCGTCAACCCATCCTCACACACAATCACTAGCTCCTTTCACACACACAAACAAAACTTGTCTTGCTGAGGACTTGCATTCTTTGGTAATTTGGAGATGTTTTTTCCACTAGGGTGACATATTTGTACCTGTCTAGGTGGATTATTTATACTAAGTGAAGATAAGATTATTTATTAGAGATAATCAAGCTCTACTCATGTTATTTGCTAAATAGAAAACAAAATAATTTTACTCTTTTTCTCTCTCTAATTTTTAGCTAAAAGATACCTACTTACAGATAATATTGTGAAATTAAAGGAATTTCAGCATAAGAAGGTGGCTATTGCATATAATCTTCCTGGCACCAAAGGTAATTGAATCTATTGCATTCATTCCTTCTCTCCTACACATTGAGTTTTCCCCAGTACTTCGAATTCCTTTATAAAAACAGCAAAACTCTCCTCTTTTAATAACTCTGTGTGTGTCCCTACTGACTTTTTCCACTGTCCTTTCGCACTGTCAAGTGTTTACGAGCACCTAATTAACACTTCTTGCTTCTCTTCACTCACAGTCCTGCCTTCAGAAATCAGTCTCCCCTCACTTCTCTGCTAAACATACTTGTCACGTCCAGCGTGGCAAGGGCAAATGGGACACCAGAGGGGCGGCACAGATTGAATAAGTACAAGAGACAAAAGTAAGATTTAAGAGCGAGACCAAGGGACTCAGCCTTTAGAGATAGACTGAGCCACCGAATCGGGTCAACGTATGGTTTTTATTGATTCTTTTCAAGGAAGTAAACTGCTGTGCTGTCAGTCACTAACCGTGTATACTGGTGCGCCTTAAGGCCTTTTCCAATGACCTTTTCCCAATGTACTCCAGCAAATGCTATGCCTTCATACTCCACCACATTGCCCCAAGACATAATTACATGTCCTCCCAGGGGAGACAGCTGATATCATTCCATCAGGTCCCAGTCAGGCTGAGACACCCCCCGAGAGAGCTTTACAGATATCATTCCATCCGGTCTCAGTTTTCCGAGGCACTCTCTCGACTAATGGGTCAGAGGCTAATGCAGGGGGGGTGGTCTAAGAATCGGCTGTAAGGCGACACATACTGTTATGTAATACCACCTATGGTACAAGAAGATGTGCCTTAAGACTGAGGGAGAATATATTAATCTGTTCAGTAGACTCAATTTAGATTTTACTTCAGTCTTTTGGAGTTATGTGAAGTTTGCAAAATTAGGGCTCCGTATCATTATCTGGTTGTTATTTCCAGTGGTCATACTCTTTTTAAGGCTGTGACGGTTGTGCCTATGTTCTGAAAGGCAATTCATATAATGAGTGCCAATCTACTCCATTGTCAGATTGATATTTATAAATTCCTGTTACCATTTCATGTTACAAGAACCCAAAATGGTACTGTGTTAGATACGACATGCACAAACTCACCCCCTGGCTTCCTAGCTCTTCCATGATGGACTTTACCCTTTCTGGAGTCCGGTGTGATTGCCTATTAATCTAGTCACAGTTCTCCCCTCACCACCTCCCTCCACCCCAATTCTATGCTGTTACTCATGCTAATTCCCAAATGCCCCCTAAAATGCCGCCCTTCTCAGTTTCTCCAACCCTATCCGGCCCCTTCCTTTCTCTCTGGTAACCTCTTCACTTCCACCAAACCTCGTCTGTTTCTGCCACCCTGATTTCTCTCTTCTTTCCTATTACGTTTATAGTCAGTCACGTGTCACCATCGTTGTTGTCAGATAGCTTTCTATAAATATATTTTGTCTTCTTGAATAGACTTGGCTCTTCCAGGGCAGGAGCTATACCTCTGTGTATGATTATATGATAAGCACTTATTTTAAAATAAGATTTATTTTAAAATACAAATGACATCTGTTGAAGTTTGGGGTTCTTAAGGTTTATTAAGAGGAATTAAGAAGTACAAGATGTAAAGTCATCCTATTGAAATCTTTCATATTGTAAATTATTAAAAACTATTTAATAGAATAAATCCTCTTAAATCTCAGAGTGATAGAAGGAATAAAAATGTCTGCGATTTACTGGCAGTTACTCTTTGCTAGGCCCTGTGCTAAATGCTTTCCATCCATTATCTCAAGATAACCCCGTGAAGTAGGTGTCATGATGCTCACTTTACACCTGGGGAATCAGGTCTCATAGACAAGGGTTTGCCCACAGCATGCAAGTGGCAGAGCCAAGATTTCAGCCCATGTCCTTCTATCTCTAAAACCTTTAACTGTTATGTGGTTCTGCAAATAAAGATTGGAGGATCCACGACATGATCTCAAACCTCCTGGGCTTTTCTTGTAAAGCAAGGGCAGTCCCTGCTTCAGCTTCCAGATCGTACGTTTTTAATGCATTTTGTGCCACTCCTTTAAGCAGCATCCCTTCAAAGCTCTGGGCCTTGGAGCAAATCCTGTAAACTTTTCTTGGCAGCTTCTGATACTGAGAACAGCCTTGCCTTCTAGAAAGCAGATGCTGACTTCATGCCTGCCTTGCTTCTCACCCCACATACTGGCGAGAATACAGTCCCTTCTAATGCCAAAAAGCAATGGTTTCCTTTTGGTGTTGGACTGTCCTCCCCACCCCACCCGCACCCCAGTTGATCAGCTACAAGACAAGGGACAGAGGGATTACGATCACATTTAGTGAAAAATGTTTCTTACTAAAAGGGGACTTTTTTTTTTTAACCCCCTATTATATAGTCCTGTGGCATGCTTTCTAATAACTGAGTAGAGAGAGACAAAGAGGAATGAGAGAGGTAAAGTTGAACCAAATGAAAGAGACCCGAAGTATTCCTGAGTCATGTGTCAATCACTGTGGGTAAACCCATCTTCAGTTCCCATTTTTCTTTCAGTTTGCCTGCTGGGTGCCCTGAAAATTGATAGATTGGATATCTTGGTTACATTTTCTTTCTTTTTTTTTTTTTCCCCTCATGGGTCACCTGTAAATACAGTTCTTTGAGCTAAACCTCTGGGATATTAGTTCTTAAATTTAATGTGCATAAGGATCCCCCAGCTAGTCAAAACTGCATATTCTTGTGCTCCTATCCCCAGAGAGGAGCCTGGGCTTGTGCCCCTGTGACACACATGCTTTACTTCCTGCAGCACCTCTGACACTGTTCTCAGGGAGCCCAGCCAGTGGTGGGCGCTGTGTGGCCATGAGCCCCTCTCAGTGCCCCTTTGCAGCGTGCCAGGCGCTGGCTTCCGCTTCTCCCTGAGGTCAGACCTGACAGTCCGGTCAGCCTTAGTGATGGCCACCACCCTGTGCTTTCTTCCAGAAACCTACTTGAGAAAGTTGGAAGAGAAGTTGACCCAGAACAAGCTCATCTTGAAGGGGGAATTGAGAACCTTGCTTCATTTGTGTGAGTCCCGGGATGATGTGGAACTTATTAAAAAGGTCATTTACAGGTGAGGCATTTCCTTCGATTTCTGCCAGCCTTTGTCTCTTCTCACTCTGTTCCTTTTCCTGAGCAGCCTCATCTACTTCCAAGATTTCAGCCATCACCTATACGCTGGTGATTTCCTGAGCTCCAAACATTTATTTATATTCATTCATTTAGCAAACACTTATTGGGTTCCTACTACATACCAGGTGCTGAGGATAGAAAAACAGATAATTCATGCCCGAAGAAATCACCAGCCTATTCACTAACTCCACTTACATGTCCCCTAGGTCTTCACATTCAACTTATACAAATTTCTTTCTCTTGCTGTGTTTCCTGTCACACTGACCAGTCACTCAGGACAGATACGTGGGAGCCTCTTTCTTCTATTCTCATTTGCTCTCCTCCCTGATAGGGTAAGAAATCCGAGTGCTTCCACTTCCCCAGTATCCCTCTGTCCCCATTTCTCAGTGTCTTAGTTCAGGCCTCAACATCTCTGTCACTTGGACCTCTAACTAGTCTCCCTTCTCCAAGCTTATGCCTATTATGTTCCATTGCCTCCGATCCGTTGCCAGAGATTCCCATGTCAGAAGGAACCAGTCAGCTGTTAGGTGAAACCCAGCAAGGGTTTCGCTTATGCTTACTTGGTAGCAAGTAACAGGCTTCGTTTCTGAAATTGAGTTCATTGCTTCTTTTCACCATTCTTTAAATATATATTTCTATACATGGACCTGCATTTATATTTTACACTTAGAGAGAAATAAAAGGTATTACTATATAGAATACTAGAAGAATATATACCAAAAGTTAACCATGGTTCTCTGGGAATTACACATTCTGTATTTTTTTGTTTGTCTAAATGTGTACTTTTCTGATTTCTCCAACTTGTCTATAGTGGACATTATCAATTTTATAATGTCAAAAAATAGATGCTATTTTTAAAAAGGAAGAGAAAAAACAAAATTACACAAAATTCACTGAAAATTTGAAAAACACCAAAAAAGGAGAAAGAAGACATATATCATAAATCCTGCTGTTTCAACTATCTCTTCCTACATAACAAACCACGCCAGAATTTAATGGCTTAAAATGACAATTATTTATTATTTTTGAGAACTCTGTGGGTCAGGAATTGAGTCCCATCTCAGGTGGGCGGTTCTTTGTTGGTGTTGACTCAAGTCACTTGCTCATCTATAGTCACCTGAGCTGGAAGGTCCAGGAAGGCTTCGCCTGCATTTCCGATGCCTCAGTGCCCGTCACGTGTCCCCCTCTCTCCTTGTGGTGTCGCACCATTCATGAGTCTAGCCTGAGCTGCACTAGCCCACAGCACAAGAAGAAGCTGCAGGCCTTGTAGAGCTTCCCAGAATTGGCACAGTCTCACTGCTGGTGCTTTCTCTTAGTCTAGACAGCCCAGATTCACAGGGAGGGGAAAGGATTCAACCTCTGGATGGATGGAGCAACATGCACGTACAGCAAAGGGAGGAATTGACGACGGCCATCTTTGGGGCCTATCTACCACATCTAAGAAACTATGGTTAATATTTTATATACTGTTGACCGTTGAACAATGCAGAGTTAGGGGTGCTGACCACCTGCACAGTTGAAAATCCGCATATAACTTAAGTCTGCTTTCTGCATTGTGGATTCCCAACTGCGGATCCAAAATGCATCCTCACCAGTTATTTTCATGCAAACATTTTGTGGTTTTGATAGGGTTTATTTTACATAGATATAATTATTACTGTATATATAATGATATTGTCTTATTTTCTAATTAGTATTATATAATAGCATAAATGTTTTTGCTTGTTAATCATATGCTTAGGAATCATATTTTAATGGCTATACAACATTCTATTCATACGTTAGGTATTTTAATTAACTGTGCCCCTATTGTTGAATGTCTAACTTATTTCTAAGTTTTCACCAGTATATGAATGCCATGATGAGCCACCCTATAGATAAAACTTATCCTTTATATCCTTTTTGAGATCAAATGGTATGAACCTTTTAAAGCTTGTCAATATGAACTACTAGATTCTTTTCCCGAAGGGTTATGCTGATTTACAGTCACACTGTATCAGCAAACCTAATTCTGTTATTTAAATTTCATGATGTTGAAGCATTTAAGACCCGCTGGCCTGTTTTACTCTCTCTCTTTTTTTAGTACCCAAAGTTATCAGATGTTTATAAGAGTAATAAAATAGGATAAAGTTTTGAACACTCTTTCTACTCTTATTTTTCTCATAAACATTCAAAGTATGACTCAAAATTCCTTTATCGGTGCTAATAACTGCACAGTTGCTGTCCTTTCCTTCTCTCTGTGGACAGCTGGCCCAGTGGGAAGATGGGAGGGTCCATGGCCTACCCAACCTTTTCCCTCTCTTCCTGAGACAGGCGGCCCACGGCTGGGGGAGAAGAGTAATGAGCTGAAACATAAGCTCTTTATTGAGCCAGAAATGCGGAGCATTTAATCCTGTCCTAATCTTGACCACATGCTGTTGTTTGGTTCACAGAGGGAGTTTGGATCCTCTAACTTGAACATGTCTTGTCAAGAAGGTGATGCATTATCTGCAACTTTCTAGGACTTTCATTCATGTGAATGTCATTTAAATCAGGAAAACTATTCTTTTTGCTATGTTTTGTTTTTAATATGGTACAAGTTTCTCATGAGACTATTTTAAAGATGTTTCCCTTGCATGTCTTACATTTTATGAAAGTGCTAACATATGGAAGACTTGCTGTATGCCAGGCATGTTAGCTCATTTAGTCCTCACACAAACTCTGAGTTCTCTTCTTATCCCCATTTTACAGATGAGGAAACTGAGGCAAGGAGTGGTTAATTAATTTGCTCATGGTTACCCAGTTAATAAATAGAAGACCTGGGATTTGAACTGTCAGTTTGGAATCAGAGTCTAAAAATCCTTATTCACTACACTGTATTGCCTTGCTTTATTGAGATATGCTTGACAAATCTTTATATACATTGAAGATGTAACAACTTGATGTTTTGATATTACTTTTGTAATTGGAATTTCAAATGTATCTTTAAGCACATATCATCATTCCATTTGGCAGTATATATGTTTAGGATAGACTATTCATAAGACTTCTGTGACTTTCTTTAGTAGAAGGTTAAAAAGTATTCTGTTTTTTAAAGTCAGAGCTTGTCCTCATGGTATTTGGGATTTATTCACTTAATGAATGAATCATCCTAAAGCCTGAAGTACATGTAATCATGAGGTACTTGTTTTGTTACCAGATTGTCTCCTTGGTATCCAAAGCACAAAGAGTTGGTTACTGAAAGTAAATTTGTGCCAACGATTTACAGTTCTGCAGTTCTAACTGGCAGACTGGCCACTGGAAGACATCTCAAACTGCATGTAGGACATCTTTGTCTTTGAAATTTGCCTTTACCTAAAACTGAAATTTCAAACCAGCATTTCACTTGTTTTGCTAGTTGATTGTAGCTCGCGTATGCCTTTCCCCGAGCTGAGAAAAACAGATTGGTCTGAATGGTAAGATGCATGTGTTGGCTGTCTGCCACCCTAGCGGTGGACAAAGCCAGCCTTGACGGGGACAGAGCATCACCCAGCCTTTTCCTTTGCTCTTGTGTGGAGACTGTGCCGTTCTGTTGGGCCTACAGACGCAGGACCCTGCTATTTCCTGACATATGCTCACACTCAGTCCTAGCGAGTTGTTGGCCAACTGAAAAAATAATCACAATGTACATGTTCCTCTGTTTTACTTCACAGGGTATGTGGGCCTCCAACACACCCTGTTTGTTTATTTGCTGATTTAACTGCCTGGTATATTTCTGCCCACCAGGGTTCTTCTGATTATCTTCAGTTCCACGCTTTTCCCCTTCAGACTGTGAGAGTCCCTCTTTCTGTATTGTGTCCCCAGCACCCAGCAAAGTGCATGCCACGGTCTGTCTGTCCTTTTTCCTCCATCCCACCATATGGCTCATTGAATCATTTTGGTTACCAGGTACCATGCAGAAAACAGAAACATCACTTTGGGGGAGTATAAGTTTGGACCACTTTTCATGAGGTTGTGCTACGAGTTGGATGATGAGGAGTCTGCAGCAGAGCTCATCAAAGACCAGGTTGTCTCCCTATTGCTTTCCCTGCCAATGTCATTTCCTTGTGCTGAGGAGTGGGTGTTTTCAGTGATGTTAGGAAACGCATCTGCCCTGTACACGTTATTGTTAGAGCAGGGCTGCTGGGCTGAATGAATAAGCTCTTCCCCGCGTTTTTAAGGTTTCCTTGGAGTCAGTTTCCATGAAGAGGTGTGGGTCTCTTTACACAGAGGTATAGAACCAGTGTGGAAGGGTGTAGGTACAGATTACATGGTGTCTACCTATCTTGAATGTGTGACCACCTAGGACTGACATCCTCGCTTTTGAGGAGCTTTTAGTGGGGGACAGATTAAGACCAGCTGCCATTTTAAGACTGCCTGTCCTGACCTTCACCTGTACTTTTCTCCTGTTTTTGTATTTTTACTTCTTGTTGAAGGCTACATTGTAAAGTGCTTTTCCATGTTCAAAATACTTTCATATATTCCAATTTTCTTTTCCTAAAAAACAGGAAACAGCAATAATTATTTTTAAGTTATTTATTGAGTCCTGACTATATCCTCAGCATTACGCTTACACACTTTATATATTTGTTCCCCACAATAGCCCTGGTGAGCTGGATACCACTATTATTATCTCCATTTTACAGATGCGGAAACTGAGACTCAGGCACATTCTAAATGTATGAAACATTTGTTAAATTTGGGGTCCAGGACTGGCCACCAGGGACATTGTAATATTTTTAGGAACCCCCATAACTCACTAAGTTGCCCTTTTGCCTCTTACTGTTGTTCATATAGTGTTCTGTCCATAGTAGAACTCTCAGCTGGCCCCTCTTTTAAGGACATCTAGGCATTAGAAAGAGGACCATAATATATTAGTAAGCAGAGAAAAGGTGGTTCCACAACAGTATGGATGAGTTGGAGCCTATTTTTTCCTAAAAGAATAAATATATATTTACATTTTAGGATATATGTATTAAAAATCTGGGAAGATACACACTAAACTGCTTATTTTTTTAGGGGGTAGAATTACAGGGAATTTTCACTTTTTACTTTCTACATTTTTATGTTGTTTTACTATTTTATAATAAGCCTGTGTTAATGTTGTAATTAAAAGAAAACAAAAGTTTCATTGTAGTAAATCATAGCCATGAGTATAATGATAAAATTTAAAAAAAAAGGAAGAAAACAAAAGTAAAGTTTTTGTGTTTTTTAAACCTATTTGTGTTTGAAACAGTCGTGTATGAGTTTGTTTCCTGGAGTAGCAGAATAAACTGAATTGGAGTCAGGTGACATAAAGCCCAACCCTGCTTCCACCCTAACTGGTGGAGTCCCTACCAGCACCCTGTAGTGCTGCCAGTACAGTAGCCACTAGACACATGTATCTCTGGAACCCTTGGACTGTAACTGTTTCAAATTTATATATGCTGTAAATGTAAACTACATAATACATGTCATCATTCGGGAGAAAGAGAATACAAAGTACCTTTTAATAGTTTTTTATATTGATTACATGTTGAAATTGTATTTTGGATTTAGAGGGCTAAGTAACATTAAAACTGATTTTGTGTATTTCTTTTTACTTTTTAAAATGAGGCTACTTGAAAGTTTAGAATCACATACATGGCTTGTACTTGGGGCTTGCAATATCTTTCTATGGACAGTGCTGCTCTGGTGACTTCTCATCACACTTAGAATAGAACTCAGACTCCTGACCATGATCTAGAGGGCCCTTTGCGGTATCTCAGTCTCCTGCCACTGCGCACTCCACTCTGCACCTTCTCGTTCTCTCTGAGACGTGCGGAGCCCATGACCTCAGCTGGAATGCACTCCACCTGCACCACTGAGGCTTTCTCCTTTACTTCACTGAGCGCGCTCCCCGGAGAGCCTTCCCTGACCACCTTCCATCATCTTCTCTACCCTTTTATCCTGTTTCATTGTTTTTCATAACCCTTACTGATATGTGAGATGATAGTTTTCTTTTTTTCGCTTGTTTATTCCACTTGTTCATTGTCTTCCCAGCCAGAATTGAAGCTCCACTAGATTATAAGCCCCGTGAATGCTTGAATGATGGATGTTCAATGTTTCTGCAATCTCTTGTGTCATGTAACGTGGGTTTGACTCGATCAACGCCTTTATATTGTCGTCATTAACCTCGGTGGGCCTCCCTGACCGAGGAGCATCACTGAGATCAAAATCACCAGCACGGAATGTCATGAACCATTGTTGGCACTGACGTTCTTGTAGAGCATTGTCACCGTAAACTTTATGCAACTTTTCACGAGCTTGACGTGCATTCTCCCCTTTATGGAAGTAAAACAGTAAAATATGGCAAAAATGCACAGTTTGGTCTTCCATCTTCAACTTGTAAAATCTCCAAAATTCAACCAAATCGCTCAATTTTTTTTTTTTAGAATGAAGCTAGAACTGTCAGCTGTCAAGTGACATAGCAATAACATAGAGAAGAATGTCTCTAGTACTTCCAAAAATGAACTAGTGCCATCTGTTGCAAACATGCGTCATGACTTTTCCGACAACCCAATAGAACAGGGTCTGCTCTCAAAAAAAGAACAAACTTAAGCAAGGCATTTAATGGCACATTTGTATATCATGTGTCACATTATCATGTGATTCAAAATGTTGAGAAAGAACTGTTACAAACATTGATAAATGTTTTAGTGAATTATTTACTACATAGTAATTATGACTATTATAGTGAGTTATTTCAAAAAGTGAATAATCATCGCCATATTACTTGTTTGCCAGAAGAGGATCTTAGTTGTGGTAGACTCCACTTCCTCAGTACTCAAGTACACTTCTATTGATAGCTGCCATGTCATGTTAATATGCTGCCACCCAGGCTCCAGGACCACCCTCACCAGGCTTCATTGGCTTGTTTCTTTTCTCCGAAGCATGGCAGAACCACATTTCCTGAACATGTTCTTTACCATATTTCTGAAACCTAAATATCTCTTACTATACCTCTCGCCTCTTGTTCGGTCTGCCCATTGCCAAAGGCATGACAGCCAAGAGAGTGGACAGCATTTTAATATTTTTGAAAAAGAAATCCTTGGCATATCAGAGATTTTCAGAGAATTAAGGAGGCCACATGAGCAAGGTATGCACAGAGATAAGCCCTGGATAAGTGAGATGCAGTGTAAGGAAAAATACTTCCGTAATAGTTTTAACTAAACTGTATTTTTTTATTCATTAGCACTTACGAGGCTTCTTCTCAGACTCCACGTCATTCAATATTTTGATGGATATGTTATTTATCAAAGGCAAATATAAACGTAAGTATTGGAATTTATGTTTGCTGAAAAATTCGGCTGTCTTCACTGGTAGAGTAGTTAGAAAAACAATAGACCATGCAAAAATGATCCTTACATTCCTGATGAGTGCCTGAATTATGGACACCTCATTCTTTAAGTGTGAAAACACTGCATCATGCGATGCCTTAGTTCTTTCTGTATGACCTGATCATTAATTTTGAAATTTAGTTAATTAATAAATGACTTTGACTAATAGCTTCTATTGTGCGGAAATGCACGTTTCAATAGATGGTGCTGAACCGATTAGAATGCTGGAGATCAACAGCAGAGAACTCTGAACTTAACTTGCTTGCATTTAACATTGCTGACTTTTGGCAGGTGCGTTGGAAGTATTGATCGAGATGAAAAACCAGGATGTGAAGTTCAGCAAAGATACCTATGTCCTTGCTTTTGCAATTTGCTACAAACTGGTAAGATTATCTCCTGTTAACCTTCAGAGCATTGGGGATAGTGTTTGAGAGAGGATTGATTTATTTTTTTTCTCTACAATAAAATTCATTTCTTCTGAAGTCTCTTTTTCCATCTGGTGCAGATATTTCCATTTTAATTGTGTTCATTTTTAGAAAACTCAAGTTAGCTATGTCAGACGGTTTTAATTATGGGAGAAGCAACTTTATCATCTTTCCCCCTTTTCTAGCAATTGCGTAGATAGTGAGACTAGAAAACAGTACGCTGGGTTCAAGCTCTACTTTCAAGCGGCCGTGCTACCGTGTTCATGCTGGATTCTACTAGACCAGTCTGCTCTGTGGCCCTCTCCAATGGAAATCTCACATCCTTCATTGGCAAACTCAAGGGCTACTCTGTCCTCACCTGTGAATTTTTCTATAGTCACCTAAGTTGGAATCTCTTCCAACATGCCTTGATTGTACTCTATTTGTATCACATATGTGGCACTTGTAACATTGCCCGATGTTGTACTAAGTAGTAGCACATGTCATCCTCCCTGCTAGAGGGTAAGCTCCTTGAGGCATGTTGGTATGCCAGCACCTAACTCATTGCCTGGTACAAAATCAGTCTTTAATAAATGTGTGTGACATTAAAATGAACTCTAAGGAGAGCATGACTCCTAAGTCCCCATGTCATTACTGTATCAGGATTGTTTCTTACGCATAACAACCATTTCTTCATTATTTAATGAATGAATGATAACTAAAGTAGTGCATTGACCAAGGTTCCATGCATAACTGTAGTCATTCATGCCATGTAAACTTTGGAAACTTAACAAAACCATTTTATGCTAAAAACGAACACCAAGCAAGGTAGAAGAACATGGGCCATTAAAAAACTCCCCTAAAAAGTGTAGCAATAGCAATTTCCCAAAATAAGAGGGGCAGTCGGGTTACAGTGGAAAGAAAACCAACCTGGAAATTGAGAAACTTGGAGACTAGTCTCAACTTTAGTGTTAACTGGCTTTAAACTGGTCACTTTCCTTATTTGTGAAATGAAGGGGTTGGATTCAGAGGTCAGCAAACTTTCTATAAAAGGCCAGATAGTAAATATTTTAGGCTTTGGGGGCCACATATGGTCTCTGTCACATATTCTTTATTTGTGTTTTTACAAACCTTTAATAAAAGTGTAAAAACCATTTTAGCCATATGCTAGATTTGGCCCGAGGGTCATAGTTTGCTGACCCCTGAATTATTGGATGGTCCTTTCCTAATCACACCTTTCTATGATTCTGTGAAATAGAAGACCAACAAAATATACAACCCTCGAACATCAGTTATTCAGCATTGTGATATCCAGTTTTCTGACCTACTTAGAGATGTCTCTTACAGAGGGCCAGACGCCTTTTCTCCCATGTTGTGTCTAAGAATAGCTTGTTTCACTAAGTGGAATCTGGAGTTAAAAAATTGAACTGGTCGGCCATCACAAGTTCCAAGCCAGTTCTCAGAACTCTCCTCTCATCACATTTAGATTTTACTTTAGGATTTGAGTTGTGCATCAGGTCATGACATATATACGTAGATGCAAAGCTGATGCTGCTCTCCTAAACCTAGTCCATCTACTTCACTTACAAAAGAGAGGATTCGGTTTTACCACTGCTGTCTGCTGGTTTGTGTGTGACTCATATTCTTGGAATTTTTTTTAAGTTTTCTGTTTTCATGGGATTCTTTCATGATTTATGTTCAAGTTAGTATTCATGCTTTCAGATCTTTGACTTTGTGGGTATTTTCAGGTTGGAAATCCTCTCAGGAAGAGTTTCCTTGTGTTACTGAGCTTTATTGTTTAATATAGTCGCAGGCTGACTATACTTTTACATTATGGCACCTGTGTCTAGAACACCAGCCTGCCCAGGCACACAGAGACCTGTATGTTTGCTGATGAAACTGCCCCAAGTCTGAAAACTGACAAAGAGCTTTAAAAATAAAGATTTTTAATTTATATTTGAGCTGCTAATATTTAGATAGCCTCATCTATTTGCAAATATTCTCTGTATGGCTCTTAATCTTTTAAGGGGCTTGAGATAGACTCTGAGAAATTCTTGCAAAAGGAAATGTGAAATACTGAGAACCATTAATTATTTTAATTAACTTGAAGTTTCATGGCATTTATTTATCGAGCAATCTTATCTCCTTCCAGAATAGCCCTGAGTTTTTTTTAAAAAGTATTATTAGTTTCAGATGTACAGAACAACATAATGATTAGACATTTATGAATCTTGCAACGTGATAACCCCAACAAGACTACTACCCATCTGACACCATACATAGCAACTACAATACCATTGACTATATTCCTTGACTATCTATCTATCTATCTATCTATCAATTAATTGTAGTTGACATTTAATATTACTTTATATTAGTTTCAGGTGTACTGCACAGTGGTTAGACATCTATATAATCTACAAAGTGAACCCCTGATAAGTCTAGTACCCATCTGACACCATACATAGTATTTACAACATTATTAACTATATTCCCCACACTGTATTTCACATCCCTGTGACTATTTTGTGACCACCAATTTGTACTTTCTAGTTCCTTCATCTTTCTTTTCTTTTTTTTTTTTTTTAAGATTTTTATTGGGGTATTGGGGGGATGGGAACAGTGTTGGGGAATTGGGGGAAGGGGAACAGACAAGTTGCTGTTGTTTTGTTCTTCAGTCTAGTTGTGGAGGACGTTGCTTCACTGGCCCACGTTGGCACCATCATTGCGCTCTTCCCGGGCGAGGCAGATCAGTCGCTGGCTTCTGGATGGCCGCTCACTGCGGCTGCTGGCCGCTCACGCTGGCTGCTGGCTACATACAGTAGCCCATGGCAACCCACTGCCACAGGGGCTGCAGCCTATGCCGTCGCCGGCGACTCACGGCAGCCCAGCTCCAGGTTGAGCTGTTGTTCAGCATCTTAGCTGTAGAGGGCAGTGTCACTGGCCCTCATATGTGGGATCCGAACCGGGGCCCTCTGGCATCCCAAGCCAGTTCTTAACCATCACGTCACTCGGCCGGCCCTCCTTCATCTTTCTTACCCATCTCCCCAGCCCCCTCCCATCTAGCAACCATCAGTTTGTTCTCTGTATCTATGAGTCTATTTCTGTTTTGTTTGTTCATTGATTCTGTTCTTTAGATTCCACATAGAAGTGAGATCATATGGTATTTGTCTTTCTCAGTCTGACTTATTTCACTTAGCATTGTATCCTTTAGGTCCATCCATGTTGTTGCAAATGGTAAGATTTCATTCCTTTTTTATGGCCACGTAATATTCCATTGTATAAATGTACCACCTTTTCTTCATCCAGTCGTCTATTGATCAGCATTTCTGTTGTTTTCATATCTTGGCTATTGTGACTAGCACTGCAGTAAACATAGGGTGCATATATTTTTTTGAATTAATATTTTGGATTTCTTTGGAGGGGAGGGTCATAAGTTAGTTCTATTTTTTAATTCTTTGAGAAACCTCCATACTGATTTCCATAATGGCTCCACCAATCTGCAATCCCACCAACAGTGCACGAGGGTTTCCTTTTCTCCACATCCTCGCCAACACTTGTTGTTTGTTGATTTATTCATGATAGCCATTCTGACAGGTGTGAAGTGTTATCTCATTATGGTTTTTATGTGCATTTCTCTGATGATTAGTGACTTTGAGCATCTTTTCATATGTCTGTTGGCCATCTGTATGTCCTCTTTGGAGAAATGTCTATTCAGGTCCTCTGCCCATGGGATTGTTTGTTTTATTGGTGTTGAGTTGTATGAGTTTTTTTTAATAAATTTTGGATATTAACCCTTAATGAGATGTATCATTGGCAAATATCTTCTCCCCAGAATAGTCCTGAATCTTTCAAAATCTGTACTGCATTAAGAGAAGAAGCCCTAATCAAAGGAGAAGTTCTCTCCACGAGAGCATCCTGTTTTGCTGTGGCGTTAGCTCTGAATCAGGTAAGGCTTTGGGATACACATAAGTGACCTAGGAATGGGCAGCACGTTGCCTCATTCATTTGTCCTTGCTTTTATTTATTTATTTTCCCCTTCTGGCTGTGTCATAAAGAAAAAGTCCCCATAAAGAAACCAATGCCTTTGGTGCCATGGCACTTGCATGTATACCTATATCTCCAAAGAATGTCTCCATTTACAATTGAGGACAGCACCGGCTGAGTGGCTCAATTGGTTAAGAGCTTGCTCAAGAGTACGAGCTCTGAGCAACAGCCGTTCGAGTCCCGGCCCAAGCTGAGCTGCCGCTGAGCTGCCAACAGGTGGCAGGATGGCTCAGCTAAAAGAAAAAAAGAAAAAACTCAAGTACAATTGAGGACATAACATGGATTGCTGTTTAGAGAGGTCCTGTGGAGAATCAGTGAGGGAAACTGCCCTCTGAGAGAAATTGCTCAAGTAATTAAAATGTAATGTTCTCAGAGAACAGTTTAATTTAATGCTTTCCAAGGCCACAGTGAACCCATTATAGAAGTGAGGTCCGTTGTATTTCACAGTTAGAGCCACATACTCTTATTTGGAAGAGACTTCATGGATCGTACAGCCTCCCGCCTCACTGGACAGAGGCAGCGGCAGTTCAGAGAAGAGAGGACCTCCCTGTTGTCACACTCAGAGAAGGACAGTTAAAACTGGAACCCTGGAACACCCCCTCTCTTGACGAGCTCCACCCAAGATGTCCTATTCCAAAGCCAAAGAAAATGTGAAATTCTTTACACATTTACTGTGTAGTAAAAGGAAATTTTATGGCAGCAAAAATAATAACCAAGCCAGGTTTATTGACCCAGCTGGTAAAATGTGTGGTCAGAGAACTTTTGTTTATCACTATTTAGAAGTGCAAATATCAGGGTGATCCATTGCCATGTACTGCTGGGACTGTCACGGAAGAAGGACAAAGGCTTAAGGGGATACACAGTTACCAGCTACCACTGCTTTAGCTTCCTGAGTTCTCCTCTCTGGCTTAGGGGCATTGCTTTGTGTTCTTTGTCAGGAGTTGTGGGAGATGAATGAAAGTCTCTTCTTAGGAATACATCTCTGTTTCTCTTCGTTGTTCCTGTATTTCTTCCTTTATGTGTTTGAGTAATGCCATTTGGTGCACAGACAGACAGCTCAGTGTTACATCACAACTGTTACACCATCATTATGAATCTCACTGGAGCTTCATAAAGTGCCTTTCTTGGTCTTGTTTAATGCTTTTGCTTTGAATTCAATCTTGTCTAATATATCTTCACCCCTGTTTTTGTTTGTTCATCTCTTTAGTTTGGTTAGGTTTGCATTTACTGACATATACCTTTATCTGTCCTCTTATTTGCAATCTTACTAAATTA